CCATGGACATCTCTGGCTGGATCCATTGAATATGTCAAGTGTACGTTCTGATTCGAGATAGCAAAGACATCTTCAAGAGTGACAAATATCATTTAAAGAAAATATGTAACGAGGATACTGAACTTTTTAAAATCAAAGATAGTTAAAAATAAAAAAGCTTTCAATAATTTTATTATGTGGTTATCATAGTTGCTAACCCAAATAAGGATTGAAGTAAAAACTTGCTTAAGTAGACTCACCCCTTTCCGAACGTGAAAATCAAAACTTTTTCGATTTCTGGTGTTTCATCGCTAATATACCCCCGAAATGTTCTCTGTCAAATAACATATAAAAGAAGGGTCTTCGTTGTTGGTTAGTTCTTTTCTTAAATCCAACTTTCTAAATCCCTAGCAACAAAACTTCATGAGTCATGAACTTTAACATCACTGAACACGATCAGTATTCGATTACTTTAGTTGAAGAAAAAAAAAATCCTGATACATAGAGGAAAATTTGTTTGTCGTTTTTCTCGAAATCAATTTGTTGACAAAAAAATGAAATTTTATCTTCTTTTCTTCTACATAGTAGGTCTGATCGGGCTCGAAACTTTTTAATGAGCATTTTGATCGAATCGGGGTGTGTGTTTCATTTTTTTTAAACATGCTGTTCCTACGAAATTTGGCAGCTGTCACAAGAGCTGCATCATTGCAAAAAAACACTTTTTTTTTTATGGTGTCTTCAGTATTTTGGTTCCCCTAGGCTTCAGGAACAATATCTTTCAAAGAAAAAAAAACACGCATCCCAATTTGTTCCTAATTGTCACAGAAGAAAGTTTCAGCCTTAAAAAAACCTTGGATCATTTTTAGTCCATATAACTCGCATATCTCCTTGAAGGAAGCATTCAGAAGTTTTGACTCTACGATAATTTTTGCCCTATTCATTGAGACCTATCTGTCAAGAAAGTTTCATTATTTTTCGTCGAGCTGTTCTCGAGAAACTCCGAAAAGGTAATCTTAATTCTATTCTACACGGTTTTATTTGTCAATGTCGATACTTTTGGTATGGCATATATTACAAAAAAAAGCATACGACTTTTAATTCCGACTGTCTTTTCATATGATTGTTCGAATAGTATTCCGACATGCGCTGGGGCATTCAATCGACTGCAGCAAATAGTCATGCGACCGTTGATATGTGCTTGCAAGAACTCGACACATGTTGTCAACTATCAATGGCTACCAATTGCGTTGTAAGATCTTTGACATTATTTTAATTGGCCTAATTCTTATTCGAAGGTGCTCTTGAGCCATCGATATGGCAGTCGGCTTGTTCCTGCAAGTATTCCACAGAGACTCTTTCAAATACTCAACAATGCTCTCTCGGTCAATGCTGAAAATAAACAGTTTCTCTCAGAAATGTATCGATGTGACGAGAATTCACTTAAACCAGAGTATTTTCTTCGTCCAATCGAGAATCCTCAGAAATGGACATTAAGCGAGAAGAGATTACAAATAATTTTACGTCAAGCAGCTGATACATGTTACAAGCAGGGATCGATTTCAAAAGATGAATGCAATCAATTTTACATATCGGGTTTGATCAAACATAAATATTATATTGTATTTAAATGCACTGCTAGTTGTGCTCGTTTAGTGACGGCCAAAGAAATCTATCGAGCTTTGCAAAATAATAAAACATCACGTCGAATACTCTGTTTCTTTCGAGAAATTATTGATATTGAAGAACTTGATTCGAAATTTCGCGAAATTGAAGATGCAACCGAAGCGCAATTGTTATTGAATGAAATCAAAAATGTACTGCATCAATCTCTCGATCCGATGGATATTCGTACATATCGAGTAAATAGAATTGTCATCTATTTTATTATTATTTTTTGATTTTTTTTACAATCAGATCCATTGGAATGATGCAAAACAACGAACTGAGTATTTCAACAAATTTTTTGATGATTTCTTCGATAGTATGAAAAATCAAATTGACTATCATATGGAACAATCTTGTAATAAAAGAGCAACAATCGATCCATTGTACGATCAAATAATCGAGCATGCTATTCAATGTAATTTACTTATACAACGATACTTTCCTCGAAAAGATATTCTTGAACAAGTAAGATGCACATTTACAATTGTGATTCGATTAATTTAGAATATTTATTCAAGTATAAAACAGCCCACACACTAAAAAATAATGTGTTGGATACGTCATGTTTTCCGACACATTCTATGACTGCAGTTCGAACTTAGGCTACATTAGTGCTTGGAAAATTTTTCAATTTTGGAAATGGATGATTACTTTTTTCGAGTTCATTTAAATTCGTCATATTGTTATAGCTTGCTTTCATCCTTGAGTGATGCACGACAACCAGATTTTAGATCCTGACATCTTACATTGACTGCATCTCCATCGAGCTGCTCCAAGGTACTTCGATGTGTTTTGTGCACTCCAGAAATCTATGTAATTGCTCATGAGTTTTTATATTGTTGAACCAGTCACACCTCAAATAGCGCACTATCTACCACGATGACTTCTAAATTTGGTACTTGCTAGTCCTACTTGGTGCGTTGTCAAACTTTGTTACGTAGTGTAAAGGTGAAAGTGTTTTTTGGATTCTTTAAGGATGGTTCGTTTGATTTCAGCAAATTCAACGAAACAAAAATTGTTCCATACTTTGAGTTTTGAGATCTGGAGAAGCTAATAGAGGATTAGTCACAGCAGTAACTTATGAGAAAAACCAAAATGTTCTTTTAATCGAGTCAACGTTTATATCGTTTTCCATCGTTCTTACGAATCACCACAGTCGGAGCTCGATACTGTGCACCGTAACTCGCACTATGGACATCTTGCATATTCTATCGAGTTTCATTTGGGACTCAAGCTAAGCAGGTTGGTTGAAAAATGAGTTCTAAAGAGAATTCTTTCTTTTATTATGAGGTTCATAAGATCAGATCTTTGTTTTACAAAAATAAAATGACAAAAAGACAAAACGTGTTGGGTTCAAAAACGAAAATCCGGCTCAAATAAAATAGAGAAATATCAGCGATATTTAAAAGTGCGGGTTTTGTTGTGTTCATGACAGAAGACTAACGGGTAAGGTAGAAATAATGGGACATTTTTGTTTTCTATTTTTGAGATACTCAACAATCATGTTAAAAGTCTGGTTTTGAACTCATTCAATAGAGAATTGATTTGTGTACAAAACTGTCAAATGCATTTTTCGCAGGCGTGAAATTTACAAGATTCACACATAATCAATTATCCATCTGCGAAGGCTAAAAACACGAAAACACAATTGACGGAACTATTTTTAAACGAGTCTGTTTGAATATCAAGTACACCACTAAATTCTACATCTTTCAATATAGTTTTCAAAATTTTAAAGGAACAGATTTGAAGTGAAAAATATGAAATCACAAAAAAATTCTTTCCGAACAGATCTATGGCATTGTCATTTTTTAATTCGAAACAGTCAAAATAGTTTAACTGTTCAAGTCACAATTTATACCATTTTTTTCTCAGAACTAAATTCTACATACGGCAGCATGAGTATCAGTGTTGCGTATGACAAGTCTATTTTTGAAAACCGTTATTGTCCGGAATGTTTCCAAAAATTACACCAAGCGTTAGTTCAAAATCTTTTTCTCATGAACAAAAGCACTAAGAGTATTGAAAAGATCGTGAAAGTACAGAACACAAAATTCTCTATCTATTGATGTTAAATATTTTAGTTTGAGTATCGATCGATCGGGAAAGAATAAAAATTTTCGGATGGACTATTGAATAGGTATTAATCTTTGAAATTTTGCGCTGATAAGAAAGATTAATTTGAAAAAAAAACGCATTCGATAGTTTTCTTAAAAATGAATTCTCTATGAAACAAGCTGAGACCCAGATTTAAAAACGATTAGTAAGTACTTCAAAGATAGAAAACAAAAGTGTCCCATTATTTCTGGTTTACTTGTAACATGTTGTCTTTTAGGAACATAGTGTACTTAACATTTTTGAAGTCAGGACTTGTTAGTCGATTCTTCCGAAGAATATAATTAAAACAGAGAGAGACTGCAGGATCAATAATAACAAGTGACTTGATGTGTGTATTTCTATTGAAAATAAACAAATGCCTGCATAAATGTGCAGTTTTTGCGTTTGAAAGTATCAGTGCATTTAGAAATTACATCTAATAGCAAGTGTTTCTGCGATGGATATATCTTCTGATACAAAATATCCAGCTCAAGTTCAGATCAACTTGAACTGGTAATCCAATTCTTCGACTTAGTTCTCATGAACTGTTGAATTTGAGCTGTCACATCTGTAATTCTAACTTAATAAAGTCAACTTCGATCAAAATTATCGTTGATATAGAATTGTTCTCATCACTGAGACATTTTTTGTCATTAATATGGCATTATGGTCATTTTTTCAGGTAAAAAATTATATCATGTCAAGTGACAGAAATTCATGCCCTTGCGTCGTGCTATTCGGAGAATCTGGCACTGGGAAATCATCGATCATGGCCAAACTTGTGACTGAAGTAAGTGAATCTATCGAATATCATCACTAGTTTTGAATAAAATCTTTTCAAGATACCTTCTTGGTATTCTTCATCATCTACTTCCCTTTCCATCATCATTCGTTTCTTGGGTACTACACCATCTTCTAGTGATATACGTCGTCCTCTCATCTCAATCATCCAACAAATCTGTACGATTTATCAATTGACTCGTCCAACAAATCTAGATAACATGTCAACGACATTGACTGAGTTAAGAGATATTCTTCAGCATACTTTCTCCCTTATTCCATCCGATCAACAGCTCATTCTCTTACTCGATTCACTGGATCAACTTCAAATAACTGATCTACAAAATCTGTCTATCTGGTTACCTCGTATTTATCCATCGGCGAATGTCAAATGCATTCTATCGACAATTCCAGAAATTGAATACGAACGAAAAATGATCGATATTCATGGACTACTCAAATCTTTGTTTGACTCTGATATGATAGAACTCAAAGTACCGTTGTTAAATGAGTTTCTGGCTCGTCAAATTCTCGATGCTTGGTTAGATGAAGATCGACGTTGTTTGACACCAATTCAACTCGATTGGCTCAAATCGAAATTATCTTCATCGTATTTTCTTACACCTTTATTTCTCTCTCTCATTTACGATCAAACACTCTCATGGCATTCATTCGATACTGAGCCCGATCAAACTTTTCTTGCCATCAAAAGCACACGTGATGCTATCGGATATCTATACACACAATTGGGAAAAAAATATGGTCAAGTTTTATTCACACGTTCCATGCGCTATCTACAATTATCTGGTGGTTTGAGTGAACTAGAGTTGGAAGATATTCTTTCATTAGACAATACAGTTCTTCAATCTGTCTATGCCCATTATCTTCCACCATTTGGTCTCTTTCGATTACCATCGACGTTATGGATTCGTATTCGAAATGATATGTATAAATATTTAATCGAAAAGGAAATCGATAATGTCCCATGTATCTATTTGTGAGTACAATGATAAATTAAATTTATATCAAAAAGTCATTTTGATTGTTAAGACGATAAAGTCACATCGATTAGTTATTATTGAATTCTATGCAAATCTTCGTCTGAATGATTGTTTGCGCATTCAAATTCCAACAGCAGCTATAGTTTTCTTTTAAGGGTCCACCTCTTACAATGGATTTTCCTCTTAAAACTGACTCTTTGGAGTGAAATTTTCAGGAATGACTGGTTTTGATGAGAAACACTTTTGGTAAAAATTTCAGTTCGATACGCCATACTCGACCAAACTCCCAGCTTGTTATAATGGCTTCAGGAGAATCTTTCTAACTTGGTCACAATAAGAGGTACAGAGTTCGGGGTTGTTATAAATTACAGCTGATATCGTTGTGCAATTTTTGGTGGAACAGAATTTTGAAACTTCCTGTTGTTCATTTTTTATGAGCATTTTAGCAGACATGATGTTAAAACATGCATAAAAATGACTACCTTTACGACAATCAATCTCATTTTTCTCAGCCTTGGAATCGAATACAAAAAAAAAAGTCTCACCGGACAAAATTTTACTCTAATTTTGACCTTTAAAATAAAAAAAATATTGGTTATATCTTAAACGAGATGGAAGTTACTTCAATTTTCCTGTTTGAAAACCATGTTCTGAAAAAAACGCTACAAAAGTGTTTTAGAAATGAATTTTTTTCATACGAAGCCGAAAAATTCATGTTAAAATACTATATTTCCAATACAATGTTGAGGATAAAGTATAAATATATAATCCTTATCTTGAGTGTTGGTGAGTGGCTAATAGTTAATATAAAAGTGTTTTGTTCAGTACTGATACAAGTATTAACGCGGTTTTTCCAAAACTGAAAAACTTGAAAAAATCGCAAAAATTTCTCGGAAAATCTCATAGTAGCGTCGAACTTTCCTCTAATAAGTCTATGACAATCTGGTCGTTTTTTCGAAAAGCCATATATATATTCTGAAAGAGAAAATTTCGGTGCATCTTCCTATGATAAAAACTCAACTTTGATCTTTTTTCGAAAAATTGAGTTTGCTAAGAGGATCTTGAAGAAGGCTCCTTCGAGTTTTTACACTCAGTTTTTTTTCATGCTGCATAAGAAGAAAAAATATGCTTGGAATTGTAGAAAAATGAGAAAGAGAAATGAGCCTATTCTCGGAACGGGAGAGTCGTTTTTGTGGAAAATCAGACCTTCCTAATATTTCGAGTTTTTTTCCTGGAAACTATGTTGTAAAAAATTAAAAACAAGATATTCTTGTGCAGTTTTTAGACTCTAGCCAACCATATAGAAATAAATGAAAAAAAAATTTCGAATTAGTCGCATATTAACCAATACTTGTTGTTTTATTGCGGTATTTCGTTTCCCACTTTTTTTTGTCTGCTACTACCGATTTGCAAAATGAATCGAATTCGATCGATTTTTGAACTATTCCAACTTAAAACAACACACAAATCGATTAAATTCAATTCATTTCGCAAATCGGTATTAGCAGACAGAAAAAGTGGAAAACGAAATACCGCAAGAAAACAACAGCAAATATTGGTTACAATTTGATAACTGAACACAGAATGCATTCGTATGATTTTCAACAAACTATTACAACCAGATACTTATCATATGGTGGATCTTTGACTACTACAACCTAGCATATTCGATGGATAAAATATCAAAAACGAATTTAACGATATCAAGTCAAAATCATGCAATGAAAACAACATCATCCACGAACTTTTTGTGATATAGAAAGCTGTCAGCGCAATCCCTGTGGGATTAAAATGTAAAACACGATGGAGCTGCTTGCGCTGTCATATTTCATACTAATCCCACAGTAAAGTTCGGTTTCCCAGATATATCTATCACAGTGTATAATGGAGCGGATAGTGTTAATAACGATGCGCGGAGTTTTAATGAAGGGAGTGCCTGTGATGAGGCGTTGCTCAGGTGTCTGTGAGGTGCCGTTGCTAACAATATCTGCCGCGTCTCTTCTATACTTCAACATTCGTTTTAGATTGTGTTTCACAATAACAGACCAAATTTTTGTATTTCGATTAAAGACCTTAGTTTTGGACAGTACTTATGAACTTCGCTCGTATAAATCAAAACTCAGTATATTTATCGATCATTTAAAAACAATTAGTTGATAAAATTAAATCAAATAATAAAAATATATGAAAAAAAAAACTTTTAGGAAAGGACTTTTGGGACATCCTGTAGATTTCGTGTTACTTTCAAGCAGAATAAAAAATAAAATTTCAGAACTAAAACAATCCACAGAAGGTAACGGTTCTTGAGTTTTTTCTTTTTTCGGAACCTTATATTAGGGATCGAGAAATCGTGAAAAATTTATCACATACGAAACTCAAAGAGCTCTACAACATTTTAAAAAAAATTCAGGATTGATCGCCTGGCGTTCCGATGAAGAAAATATTATTTCAATTCATAAGTTCGTCATTCAGCATGATTTTTTCATTTGAATCCTATTCCAAAGAGCATTGATACTCTAAAGACAATATTTTCTTTCGCATTTCTATTTACTAATACATGAATTTTTTACCAGTTATCATCAAAGTTTTCGATCCTATAAGCCATTTGGCATACAATCTTTTATCGGTTGGGATGAAACAACAGAAAAAGAAATGGAATCAATTCGTCTTGATTATTTTTCCAATCGACATGTTAAACCATTTGATATTTCGTATTCACAAAAATTGATGCGAAAATACCAACTCTCGACTGCATCACTTTCGGTTGAACGATGTCTCACTATCCAGTTATCCTTAAAACTGAAACAAATGGAATCAAAAATCAAATATAATCTGCGTCGTCTTCATCAATTATGCATTAATCTCAATCGATATGATTTTGCTCATCCATGGACTATCTTCGATTATGATTTTCTCTCTACCTATCTTGGCTGTGGTGAATTTAAAATGTCCGATTTACTCTATCAATTTTATCTTGGTTCTCATGATCCAAATGGTGAATTACGGTTTCTTCTTAAACAATTCGAAACATCGAGTGCAATACTCGATCAATATCCGGATAATCTAGCTTGTGAACTTGCCTATCGATTCTCCTCACTCATTCATCTTCTACCTGATTTGACATACAATTTATTCGAACAATGTTTATCTCAATGTTCGTTAGTTCTAATAACGAATAGCGAACGTCAATCATGTTTAGCTGAGCATTGCATGATGAACAACTCTCGTATTGTCAATCTAACGATCGATTCAAGTCGTATATTTGTTCTGACCGATGATCATCGATTGCGTATCTACGATTTTGATTATTATGGATTATTGCTGAGAGACAATCGAGAGTTTGCAAACAAGACAGAATCTAATGAAAAATTTCTCTCACTTCTTTGTAGTTATCCATATGTATGTGTGATTTCTTCATCTTCATCGATGATAGTGATTGATTGTCAGAAAAATGGAAGTATCATACGAGTGTCTTGTACTTCTGTCATATCGTTTATCAATAAATATCTCGTTCTTGTTGTTATCAATTCATCGATGAACAATAAAAGTTCACTGAAATTGTGGAATTGTCAAACGAATACATTCGAGAATAACTACGATTTTCTCGATGATTCTATTGCCCATTGTTCCATTCAACAATCTATGGTTCGTGTCGTTTTGCAACAGAGTGGAATTATTCAGTATTTGTCAATTGATAAGAACGCACAGTTCAATGTACTTCGAATGGTGAATGAGAGAATGGACAAAAATCAGCATTGTATTCTTCTCAATGCTGATTGTGAATTTTATTATTCATCAAATCAATCTCATGCTATACTTGTGATCTATCGAAATGATCAATTTCAGAAAGAGATTATCGATTTTCATTTACCATTTGTTTCGATCGTATTTCTGCCTCAGAGTCATTCGATAGCCTGGTTAACTGCAACATCGGTCTCAATTTTTGATCCGTTGACCGATGGACATAATTCTAAACTGTTTACTATCCATATCGAATGTGATACAGTCCATGATCATTATTATTCTTCGGATGAGTACAGTGGTCAATGGAATTTTATTGTTTGTATCAATCAAAAAAGAAATATCATCGATTTTTACGTATGGCAATATGACACCGATCAACATGAATATATTCATCAATATCTATCTCGTGTACAATTTGATTTATCCATTGATCAATGTGTCTTCACTGCTAGTAAGAAGTAAATTATTACTGCATAAGAATAAAAATAGCTTATTATTGTTTTCTCCGAGAGATTGGTTCGATGGCATTACTGTATATTGTGCTGTTGGTGATTATCTGCGGAAATACAATCATACAATGATCGCCTATCTTCCTTCACCAATACCTTCGATCATATCTCAAACAATGCAACAAAGTCCAATCATTCATTCTGATCGATTTCTGATACTCGAAGATGACAATCAGTAAGTTGAGCACAATGGTTACTTCGATTAGATAGTTCTTTTTCTTTTCAGTGCAATGTTTCAAGTATTCACTATGAATGATAACAATCAACTAGATCTATGTCTTGATATTTCCGTCAATATTGTTATGGACTATGCTATCAATGCAATCACTTCTCATATTTTCATTCGTGATCGAATGAATATTCTGTCAATTTATTCTTTATTATCAGGCAAAATGTTATGGACAAGGAAAGAATTAGAACCGATTCAATTCTATTCACTACTTTCATCTTTTATTCTCATCTATCTGAGAAAAAAGTACATTTTTCGAATTGATACTTCTACACAATCATTATTTACATTGAAATATGTTGCTGAACTACCTTTCAAATGCAACAATGGCCATTTGTTAAGCACTACTTCTTTCGACCATCGACTCTTTATCATGTCCGAGGATCAATCAACTATTATAGAATTCAATGGACATAACGGAATTTTGACTCAATTACCATCGATTCGATTTAACTCGATAAAAATTGTTCAATTACATTCTGTATCCAATTCTCTTGTCTTTCAAGGAAATAATCAAGAAATTTTCATTTGGTCGAAGAATACAAATTCACCAAACCGCCTGGAACAAACTGATCGTCTTATTTTGAAAAATAATCGACTTGTTTTAGTTTGTAATGATCATCGAATGTTGGTTCTGTATGATTTAAAAGAAAAATTACGTGGAACTATTCGATTGGATGAAAATGCTGGTGATTGCGATGCATTGTGTTTGAGTGATATGAATGATCAGTGTCAACAATATCTCTTTATAATTTGTCGTGATCGACTTTTGCGCATGTTTCGAGTTACTGATTGCCAACGTATCGAACAATTATTTATTCACACTCAATTGTGTCCATTTGTCAGCATGATAAACAATCGACTATTACTTAAAGTAGCCAATCGATTATGTGTACTCAAACTGAACGATCAAAAATCCCTGCCGAAAAGGTAGATTGATTATTTGAGTGGATAAAAAATAGTAGCATGTGTTCACTATTCTAGAATATCGCCAACCAAGTGTGTTCTATTCGAAACAGATAAATGGATAACCTGTCATGGATTTTGTTCGTGGGACTAGTGCGACTTCTACATAGATAAGAATTTTCAATAAAGTCGTTTCTTGACAGCAATGAAACATATTTATTCTTATGTATAGTTCACGTGTTAACGTTTTCAGGATATGAGGAATGTATTACATAGTGCAAACTAGTAATAATTTTACAGTTTTGCAGACTATGATATATTTTATGATCGAACAAATATAACAAACAATTTCTTTAAATATTTCTTCTCTATATCATTAGTCTCAGTCATTTGTCCTCATCTATCTATGTTTTCCATCATAACCATGATTCAGTTAGAGTTCTTATTATTAAAGGACTATACTACTTCCTTCCTGCTCAAGATAACCATTTCTATTATCCGTTTCAAAATATAGTGCGCTTCACTGTTTTTTGAATAACTCAAGAACACAAATAGCTAGAGACCTGTGATTTGCACCAATCGAAAGAGGAGACAGGGGGACGTCTTTTTCTCCAATATTGTATAAGATGAAATCATTATAAAATAAGTCATTTCCCCAAAACATTACAAAAAGTGCATAAAAACGATCTAGCATTCCAAGAAAATTTTGGTTTTGACATGTGATCTAGATAGAGGGACTTTGTATCTATAGTTCAAGATATAATTCAAATGATTATCTTCCCACATCCAAATGTTGAGCAAACAAAATCGTTTCTTTACTTGCACGAAAACTGTGAATTTCTTTTAATTTTGAAGCAAATTTTCTTACTTTTCGTCGAAATTTCCTCGGACTGATAGAC